TTTGGTTCCTTTCCTCCCTCTCACAGTGAATGTCACTGGAGATTTGATCTGATCTCTGTTTTTCTCACCTACTGTTGACATGACCTGCCTCTTGGCAAAGAAGCAGACTCTCCGTTCTCCGAGGGGGCGATGAGGACACTGGCAAAGCTCTCGCCACAGAAAGGCGTTGGAGAGGTGCCTACTCCAAAGAGCCTTCAGAGCCAGCTCCTGGCAGCTCTGTTTTAAGCCCTGAGGCAAGGCTTCTGGGTATCCTTCACAGCACAACTGTTTCTTTTGGAAAAGATGGTTGGATGGGGACATGCCTGTCCTCACCCTTCTACATGAATCTACTGCACAGGACTGTGGAGGCAACAGAGCAGAAGTATGTGACATCGCTGGGTAACTTGCAGGATGTTGAAAAGATGTCAATGGTCAGAACAGTGATTCCCCCTGAGTTTGCGGCTTACCCTATTTCTTCTGTTAACCTTGACACACTCTTCTATGCTGGTAATTCTATTTAATGGTTGTGTCTCTCACTGCGAGTCAATGTGGTGTTTGAGTCCCCTCCCATTCCTCCCAGTATCACCAGCCACCCCCGAGGTTTGCACACAGGATCTCGATTTTACAAATGAAGCTACTGAGGCTCAAGGAAGTCCACAGGGCTAATAAGCTGCAGACATAGGATTTGAACTCACATCTTTTGATTCCAACTGCAGTGATCACATGGCCTTGACATATGATAGGTGATCACAATATGCCTGATGATGGAGGGAACGAGACAGGGTGGCCCTTGTCCCTCAGCTGCCGGGGACTGGGTCCTTGCAGAGAGCACCTCCCCAGCTTGTGCCCATAGGGCAGGACTTCCAAGACCACATTTCCTCTGTGAGGCAGAGAGGCCAGGGCTGGGAAGCAGTGGCCTTGCTAGGATCGAAGAGAGGTAGGCCCAGACTGGGGACAAAATTCAGTCCCAGTTAGGAAAGCACGCCAACCTGCTCTCCTCCTCCTGTTACAGAGGTGTCCAGAGAGCATGCCCACCCCACCGTTCTGCCTCACCTCCCCCCACCACAGCTCCAGGAGAGCAGCCCCAAGGCTCTCCCCATAGCCAGCTCTGTTCTTTTCCATTCTAGACCTTCCCTCAAGTTCTTCCTCTGCCTGGATGCCCTTTCCCTTCTTTCCTCTGAAGAACACATACTCACTGCCCAGCTGGTGTGGCTCAGTGGGTGAGCGTCAACCTATGAACCAGGAAGTCACGGCTCGATTCTGGATCAGGGCACATGCCCGGGTTGTAGGCTCTATCCCGTCAGGGGTGTGCAAGAAGCAGCCGATCAATGATTCTCTCTCATCATTGATGTTTCTATCTCTCATTTCCTCTCCCTTCCTCTCTCTGTTATATTTAAAAAAAAAGAAGAAAATGTACCACATGTCAGCATTTCAGCCCCAAAGCTACCTCCTCTCTGCTGCCTCTTCTCTGCCCTTGTGACCCTTTGATTCCCGCATCCATTCCATCCTGCTGTACCAGAACCCGGTTCCCGCCTCAAATTACAGCACCGATCACATTGAATTACTAACCCCAGTGACCACAGGAGGCCGAGACAATTTCTTCACGATTTTGCCCAGCACAAGAAGAGATGGATGGGTGTTTGTTGAATGAATAAAGCAATGAGTGGTTTAGGGGAAAGAAAGCTTGCTGAGTACTTCAGTGAATAAACCAGGGGTGGGCAAACTTTTTGACTCGAGGGCCACAATGGGTTCTTAAACTGGACCGGAGGGCCGGAACAAAAGCATGGATGGAGTGTTTGTGTGAACTAATATAAATTCAAAGTAAACAGCATTACATAAAAGGGTACGGTCTTTTTTTTTTTTTTTTTTTTTTTAGTTTTATTCATTTCAAACGGGCCGGATCCGGCCCACGGGCCGTAGTTTGCCCACGATTGGAATAAACCCTCCTCTTTGACCCTTGCCTTGTGAAAACTTTGCCACTGCACACCCTGCCTTCTGGTGATTAGGCAACTAGGCAAGTACTGAATGCATCAGAGAGATCCGCCGGCTGGTTCACAGTGGGACCTGCAGGACCCTGAGGTTGTGGGGAAACAGGAAGCATGCAGGAGGCACAAGGCCAGCAGCAGGTGCTGGGCAGTCTGAGGGCAGAGGCCTTGCTGCCAGACACCTCACCTTGAGGCTACTCCATGCTAGTGGTCTTCACAAGCTTTTGCCCATGGAACCCCTAAAAGAACGTTCTACTCTCTTGCACATTTTATTTTATTTTTTTAAATATGTTTTATTGATTTTTTTACAGAGAGGAAGGAAGAGGGATAGAGAGTTAGAAACATCGATGAGCGAGAAACATCGATCAGCTGCCTCCTGCACACCCCCCATTGGGGATATGCCCGCAGTCAAGGCACATGCCCTTAACACCTTTCGTACTGCTCAGGAGTTTTCTCGTGTTTCGCACCCATGGAAAAAGGAGCAGATCTAGATACTTATGTAAATTTTGTTTGGTCCCTCTTCATAGAGGAAAATGTTTTACGTAGTACCATACGTTAAAAAAGTACTAGGAACTTTAATTGTTTAATTGTTTTTGTAAATAAAAATGTTATAATTATTAAAAACGACACTTAAAGTGCATTACGATGATTTAAATAATGTGCAGTTTGCCCGAAAATGTGCGGTCCCTGGCGTATGTCTTAGAGATTTCTATACGGTACAAAAGGTGTTAACTGGAATTGAACCCGGGACCCTTCAGTTCGCAGGCCAACACTCCATCCACTGAGCCAAACCGGTCAGGCTCTCTTGCACATTTTAAAAGATGACATCAAAAGCTTTTATATGTCCCCTAGCTGGTTTGGCTCAGTGGATAGAGCGTCGGTCTGAAGATTGAAGGGTCTGGGGTTTGATTCCAGTCAAGGGCACATGCCCAGGTTGCAGGCTCAATCCCCAGTGGGGGGATGGAGGGCATGCAGCAGGCAGCTGATCAATGATTCTCTCTCACCATTGATGTACCTATCTCTCCCTCTCCATTTCTCTCTGAAACCAATAAAAAATATATATTTTTAAAAGCTCTTATATGCTTAAATACTTGCAAAAGTTGTAGCATCTAATTTTTTGTACGTATTTTAAATACGTTTTGGGCAAAACTTTGAACAGCAAAATCGGCATGTTAAATTTACAGAAAATATCCACACCAAATCAAACTCATCAAATCAGGCCGCCCAATCAGAATTACTGTTAGAAAATATCCACTTCCTTTTCTTCCCAATAAGTGTATTCCCACACACACCCTGTCCTCATGGTAAGCTCTCACTCCGTGGTAATTCGAAGGCAGATGGACAAGGCTCAGAGCCCTTGGCAGGCGTGGGAAGCCGAGGTGAAGTGAGACGTGGTCCCTCTCCGTTTGCCTGGCTCTCCCTCCGGAGCACTGTGTTCTGAGCTCGGCCCTTTGCCTTTGCATGTGACCAGGAGATCTCTATGCGCCATGTGACACGGTGTGCCCAGCTCAGTGAGAAGTTTGCCTTTCCTTCCTGAAGCAGAACTCAGGTGAGTTCTCGTGCAAAGGGAAGTGTTGGAAAGCAGTTCAAATTAAAGCTGAGGGGCTGAAAATTAATTCCCTGCGATGCTACCTATGCCATGTGCCCTGGCAGTCTGCGGCACCTTCACCTGCACCACCAAGTACAATGCCTTCTAGGTCCTGCCCTCACATCCCAGCTGCCCCCTTCTCAGGGGCTCGGTGTTCCCCCTCCGGCCCCCTGACCACTTCTGCAGCACCCATTCAGGCTCTGCTCACCAACCCTCTGCCTTCAGAGCCCAGGCCCCAAATTCCTGATTCTCACCACCTTCCCTTGATTCTGAGAAAACTCTATGACTCCAGGGAGAGGGGTTTGAAGGAAGTATTAAATGGGAAGATATTAATATTATGAAGGTATTCGTGAACCTGCACAAGTTTTAAGATAAACCTGCCCAAGTTTTAAGGTAGTGCTTGTTTTTTGTTTTGTTTTGTTTTTCAAAGAGAAACTTATTTACAAAACGAAGTCTCCCATTGGGTAGAAATGTGGGTGAACCTAAGAGAAGCTATGGTCATTGGGAAGGAAATCGTCCGGGTGATTCCAAGCCAGTTTCAGACCAGTTTTGATCACTGAGCTGGGAAGCAGTGACTTGTTAAGTTGCATTCCACATTTTAAATCTGCAGGAGTGCTACCCGGGGAAATGTCCTCGGGGTCCGTTAGCTGCGTGGAGAATGCTGCAGCGCCAGAGCGGGAAGGACTGAGGCCCAGACAAACCTGACTGAAGCCCCACTGTCCTTGGGAACTGCAGCAGATCCAAGTCTTTGGAGGTAGTTCTCCTCTCCTCTGCATCTCAGATATTTTTTAATCAGTCGGTAGAGATAGGTATCCCAGGCGAAGGGAAGGCCCGTGTGATCCTGGCAAGTAGACTCAAAAACAGAACTGGGGTTCTAGAGGTTATTTCAGGTCACGCTGCCTACACCTGAGACTAAAGCCATCGAGTTGTCAGAAAGAAAAAGACTAGATCCACGGTGCTGCTGCGTTTACCCAGACATGTGGTAAATTTGGAGAAATTTTCTCTTTAAGCCTAAGATGACTCTTGCTTTCCCAAACAAGCCAGGAAAATGGATTTCTGCCACTTGACCTCACCAACTCAGCAAACAACGCTGTGAAGCAAATCTGTCTCTCTGAACATAGATGTGCAGATTGCCAGAAAGAGCAGCCAAAATATACCTCTGGAATGCCACTGTAACCGTGACATTCAAACGACCTGACATACAGCACTGGAGTCCAGACAGAATTAAGAAAACCTGCCCTTGCCATCAGAAACAGGAATGACTATGAAGAATCTACTCCCCCCTCCATCCTTAGTCCTTATTTTCATCATAAACAGCAGGCTAACACACATCGGCTCCTTCTCGGTGTCTGGGCGGGGCGGGGGAGCTTGTTTGCAAACACGAACAGCCATGGCTTTGTTCTCTCGGGAGAAAACAGAACACTAGCAAGCAAAGCAGAGCTACGTACCCAGGCCTGCTGCCGCAGCTGCTCAGAAAACCGCCTGTCGTTCCTCCGGCAAGCCAGGGCGCCCGACACTTTTGGATCCTCGCTCGGCCCCTGCTCCTCTGAGCAGTGCTGCAGGTTAACTCCTGGAGGCTGGAGGCTCTAGCCAAGGAAGCCAAAAGCTTGCCAACTTACCTAATTGCATGCTGACTCACTCACGGGGCAGGACGAGCTCCAGCTGAGCCTGCTCATGGGCGAACCCCTGCACCAGCCTTGGAAGGTCACACCTGAAGTCCATCATTTTGCACTTGCACGGACACAGCCTGCTTCTTACACGGACCTGGTTCATTTATTTCCTTCCACAGACCTGCTCCTCCTATCTGATTTGGAAAATGTGAAATTCTTTCTCCACCACATCAGCGCCACACCACTGAGCAGAGACTTGGCAGGACAAAGCAGCAGTGAGCTGTGAGGACCATTTTGGATGAATGAGTTAAGCCTGGGAGAGGGCATGCCCCTGATTTTCTAGAAAGGCTGTAACTCGACGAAGATAATTTATCACACATGGCCATCTTGGTAGTTCGGGGGAAAGCAAATAAAAGTGTTTACATTTTCGCTGGTATCCTTCTGCGGCAAAAATCAAACACCAATCCCTGCAGTATTGCAGTATTACACGATATCACAGTATTAAAACAAATCACATGATTACTAGAGTCCCTAGAGCAGCGGTTCTCAACCTGTGGGTCGCGACCCCTTTGGCGGTCGAACGACCCTTTCACAGGGGTCACCTAAGACCATCCTGCATATCAGATATTTACATTATGATTCAAAACAGTAGCAACATTACAGTTATGAAGTAGCAACGAAAATAATTGTATGGTTGGGTCACAACATGAGGAACTGTATTTAAAGGGCCAGAAGGTTGAGAACCACTGCCCTAGAGGGAAAGTTCAAACTTCTAACCCTTTGGGGACCAGATTAGCAGGTACCAAAGGCAGGGAAAAGAATGCAAAGACTGTTAGTTTTCTTAATATATTTTTATTGGTTTCAGAGAGGAAGGGAGAGGGAGAAAGTTAGAAATATCAATGATGAGAGAGAATCATTGATTGGCTGTTTCTGCACACACCACATTAGGGATCAAGCCCATAACCCGGGCATGTGCCCTGATCAGGAATCGAACTGTGACCTCCTGGTTCATGGGTCGATGCTCAACCACTGAACCACGCCGGCCGGGCCCAAAGACCTTTAATATTTGATCAGTTCTTTGAATTCCATGTCATTCCACTGATGTCACTTGCAGAAAGCACAGAAGCCTAGAATTTCTCAAGAAAGCTAGTGTCACTTTTCCAGTTATTGGTGAATTGATTAGAATAGCAGACACCATCCTAGAGCAAGTCCCTGGTTTTCTTTAGGCCATAACAGAGTCCACTCTGGGACTCCCAGGGAAGGAGCAGGTGGGTGTAAGGCAGGGAGCAGTGGGACAGGTGTCTGGGAGGAAACACACAGTTGCAGGCAGGCAGGATGTAGACAGGGAACTATGTGGGAAACAGGTTAGGGTTCCTGCCCAGGCTCCCTCTTCCTCCCACTGAGTGGAGCTGCAGAGTTGCCGGCTGAGGTTTATTAGCTACTAATTGGGCTCCAAGGCTCTTCTACCTGGTTTTGCTCCTTCTGGACACCAGAATCTTGACTATAATGGTCAAGCAGTAATATCCATTGCCTACTATTGGCCAGGCATTCTGTTAGGTCCTGATGATAGTGAACAGAAGTCCTTTCCTTCATGACGCTTCCATTCTAAATGGAGAAAGACAAACAAAAAATAAAATTAAATATAATATCCTAGGTTATAAGTGCTAGAAGGAAGAATAAAGCAAAATAAGAGGTGAGAGAAGGTTGTTTTACATAGTATAATCAAGAGGTCCTCTCTGATGGGGTAATACCTCAGTAGATACCTGAAGAAAGTGGGAAGAAAGCCTAAGTCATGCTTATACCTGGGAAAAAGCATCCCAGGAAAAAGGAATATCACATCAAGTTCCTCAGAGAAGAGTGTGTTTGGTGGTTTGAGGGAAGAAGAGATGCCTAGGTTAACGTAAGCAGAGAGGGCAAGAGAAGGAGCAATTGGAAATGTGGTCAAGGTATGTGCCCTGGAGGTGCAGGACATGGAGGTCAGGAAGGCCTTACAGATCAAGGTAAGAACTTCAGGTTTACTCCAAATGAGAGATGGGAAGTCATTGGAGAATTTCGAGCAGAGCAGTGGTACAATCTGTTCTTTAGAAAGCTTCCTCTACTATTTATCACCTAGACTTGATGAGGAACACATACTGCCAAGAGGCACGTTTAAAAGCAGGGAGACTAATTCGGAGCATTTTGTAATACCCAAGCAAGAGACTGGGACTAGAAGGCTAGAAGCAGAGATGATGTGAAGTGGACTAATACAGATGTATTTTAAAGGTACAGCCAACAGGATTTCTCATTGGGTTTATAAGGATGTGTGAGAAATAAGAGTCAATCAGCAGATGAAGGGATAAAAAAAACTGTGGTGCATTTACACAGTGAAATACTACGTGGCTGTAAAAAAGAAGAAACTCTTACCATTTGCAACAGCATGGATGGACCTAAGTGCAATAAGCCAGTCAGAGAAAGGTAAGTATCACAGGATCTCGCTCATATGTGGAATTTAATGAACAAAATAAACTGATGAACAAAATAGATCCAGAGACACAGAAGCATGGAACAGACTGATGTCAGAGGAAAGCCTGGGGTGGGGGGATGGGAGGGGAGTGATTAACTGGGGAACTTACAAGAACACAGACAATAGTGTGGTGAAGGCCTGGGAGGGGCGTGTGTGGGGTAGAGGGGGTCAATGGGGGAAAAACAAAGGGGACATCTGTAATACTTTCAATACTAAAGATAACTGTAAAATAAATAAATAAATAAAATTAAAAAAGAGTGTCCAGGATGATTCCAAAGCTTTCTAGACTGAAGAACAGGTAGAGTGGAGTTAGCCTTGGCTAAGATGAGGAAGAGAGTGAGAGAAGTAGGTTTGGTCCAAGAGAAGCAAGCACTGGGCATCTCTGCAAAGGAACTCTGGAGGGATTCTTTAGCTCAAGACCTTATAAAAACAACTTGTTGAGATTGGTTGGGAGATAGCTAAATCTGCAAAGACAATGACAGAAAAAAGTGTATCCCAAAGGGTGATAGGTTTCAGGTGGTTCAGAGTAGACACTTTATAATTATGTATTGATTTTGTTGTGAATTAGAAATATAAATTATAGAGAGAGGCTAAACCAAATTTTAAGGACTTTATTGGAAGAAAATGCTACATAAATAATAGTACAGTGATAAATAGTTATGAGGGAAATCTTGTTAGCTATACACTAATGGATTAACTTTGAGGAACACGAGTGTACAATTTAAAATGGGATTAATTTAAGTATCTTTAAAGGCAAGTCTCTGAGAAGAGAAGCCTTAGCCATTAAATCTGCTGATTCATCCAAACTATTATTCATTTACAATTGGCTAATTGTCTTCTATGATCTTTCACCACATTTCTTTTTCACATGAGGGCTACTCAGGGGCAGTGAGTCCTAGACCAAAGGCCAAAATTAGCATCTGTAGATTACTCTCCCTGGGTGTTCATATGTAATTGCTCAAAGGTTACTCCCGTTGGAGTTCTTATAATTTGGTTGATTTCTAGAGGAGATGTGCTTTCCTTCATGAGTCGTTGCCTTTACCCCCTGTCTTCTGAGAGTTGAAGGTTGTAGTAGTTCTGCTTTCAAACTCCAGCAAGTGACCCCATTAGAGACCCATGTGGCTCCCAAGACACCAGTCATCTTCTGTGCTCCAGCTGACAGTGTCTGGTGGGAAGAAGCCCTTCCTGATTAAGTGAAAACAGGAAAGAAGTTATCCCATGAGCCCCAGAACATGACCCTTGCTACGGCCCCCCCCCCCGCCCCCCGCTTAATGTATATAAGCCATTTACATTTAACCCTCAACACAGCTCTATAGAACAGCTATTATGCTACCAATTTCACAAATAAAATAACATCTAAAGCTCAAGTAGCTGCATGTCCAATGTCGCCCGGCCCATAAGGAACACAAGTTATTTTCTGATCCTTAGTTTTTCAACCTGTTCAATGGCACAATAAGCATTTTGCAGGGTTACTTTATTATGTAGTTGTGTTTCCTTCCCGGCTGTCCTCATCTAACAGCCAGGATAACTTGAGGAAAATTAAGTGATTGCTATTTTAATTAACGATAAAGCTTTTGCCTTGCTAAAATGAGATATGCAAGCTGTGAGAGGTAAGGAGAGAGAATATGGAAGAGAAACCTGTGTTGATGAAGAGGCTGCAAGAGGAGGTTTGGGGAGGCAGAGAAGCCAGGGGGAACTTGAGGAAGAGGGAGGGATCTGATGGGGAAGTCTAATTTTGTTTTGTTTTTAATATATTTTTATTGATTTCAGAGAGGAAGGGAGAGGGAGAGAAAGATAGAAACATCAATGATTCTCTCTCATCATTGATCAGCTGCCCCCTGTATGCCCCTTACTGGGGATCAAGCCTGCAACCTGGCATGCGCCCTGACCAGGAACTGAACCATGTCCTTCTGGTTCATAGATTAACCACTGAGCCATGCCTGCTTGGGCTCTAATTTTGTTTTTGTAGAGTATTGGTATAATTCCTTAATGTTTGGCAGAATCCACCAGTGAACTCAACTGGGCCTCAAATTTTATTTTTTTTACTTCCACTTTTGATAATGTGTGATAGAGCTCTATTTCCTCAAGGTCAGCCTGATAATGGTAATGCTGTTTCTTGACCTGGAGGCCAGTTACTTCGGTACTTTCAGTTTGTGAAAATTAATCTGTATGTACTTATGTATGTGATGCTTCAGTTGCGTTTATAAAAATGTTTTTACCCCGTATGTCTGGCTCAGACTAACTGAAATAATAAGGGACGTTAGTGACTCACAGAATTCCAAGGAAGGCAGCTGCCAGTGGCTACTTCAGCATCCAATGAATCATTAAGGACCCAATTCTTTCCCGTGTGTCAGTGCAAGTTCTGGGTCTTCTGTCTACACAAAATCTTACCCAGAGGAAGGGGGTCTTTTCATCCATGAATCTCTTTTAAAGATCAAGACAAATTTCCTATAAACAGGTCTGGTAATTTCTTAAAAATTAAACATTTATCTACCCTATGACCCAGCAATTCCATACCTGCGTATTGACCCATTAGGAATGAAAACATATATATATGCATACATGCACATACACGCACACATACTTGTGTGTGCACATACGCACAGAGAAAACATACACAAGAATGTTCCTAGCTGCTTTATTCATAATATTCAAAACTTAGAAATAGTCCAGGTTTTAATCTATAAGAGTGGAGATAAACTGTTGTACACTTATTCAACGGAATACTGCTAATAAGAAAAAAGGAATAAATTATCAATATATACAACATGGATGAATCTAAAAATGTTATACAGAGTGGAATAAGCCACACACAAAGAGTACATACATAATACATAGAGAGAGCGGGGGTGGGAGATCAATGGAGGAAGGGTGGATACAATAGGTGTTTGCATCTGGGAGTGGAAGGGTGAGGGCTGGCAAGGATTGACTGGGAAGGAGGGGGAAAGGAACTTTCTGGGGAGATAGTAATGTTTTTGTCATGACAGGTGTTTGAGTTACACAGTTGCACGTGTTTGTCAAAACAGAAAACATACACTTAAGGTTTATGTATTCCTTTGTCTGTAAATTTCACCTAGAAAAAAACTGTGAACAAATTTTGAATTTTAGTTAATGGTATTACTATCAAAGTATTTAGGGAGAAGTGAACTGATATCTGTAATTCACTTTGAATTGCATTAAAATAAGAATAATTGGTTAGAGCACTGGCCTGTGCACCAAAGGGTCAAGGGTTTGATTCCCAGTCAAGGACAGGTTGCTGGGTTTCAGGTTCGATCCCCAGCAACTCTCCCTCCCTTCCACTCTCTCTAAAAATCAATGGAAAAAGTATCCTTAGATAGGCTTAACAGAAGATAAAAAATTGATTCATGGATAAAATGATAGACAAATGGATTGATATGTGATAAAGCGAGTTAATAAAATAATGATTAATACTGTACGGGTTCTTATTGTAAAATTCTTAAAAATGTAGTGTACACTTAAAATTTTTCATAATAAAATGTTAGAGGGAGAAAAGGTTTGTACAAAAAGGGTTTCAAGGCCAAATAAATTTAGAAAGTACTAGCTTAATGAAACGTAAGTAGATTCCTTTAAGGAGCGATTTATTACAGCCTTAAATATACTGATACAAATGCTGAACTTATATATGTGTGTGTGTGTGTGTGTGTGTGGTGTAGAAAGCGAGCGAGCTGGGCAACAGAGAACTTCACGTTGTCCTGTACCCAACATCCACCTGTCCTGTGGGGTCACCACCCAGGGACTCTGTCCCCTGGGCTTCAGCCCCATTCCTACCAGCTCCCTTCCCTTCAGTCCTGAGCTTAGGAAGCAAGTTGCTGTACATCAAAACAGAAACCAGCAGGTCCTTCTAGTGAGCTTGGCTGCCTTTCCTGCTCTGCCCTTCTAACACCAATAAAAAGACTGCCATTAATTCCTCGTTTTCTGTCAAATGAGAGAGAAGTGGATCTGGGCCCGCTCCAAGAGGAAAATGGATTTCCTAGGGCTTGAGCATATTCATTGTTGCTTCTGATTTTAATCGGTGATTAAGCCCTGAACATCTTGAGAAATTAAACCAGTTTCCTAGCCCAGATCTACAGAAAGCCAAATTGTCACAGTTCTCCACTCTCACCATGTGTTATAGTGACATTTCAGATACTTCCCCATCTAATTTTGGTGACTTTTTGTTTGAATTTACTCTCGGCGAATGCTAATAGCATGTAGGCGTTATGTGTGCTGAATTTATTGACATTTTCTCTCCCAAAGGAAGAACTATCGCTACCGCCACCCTCAACAACTTGTGCAGTGTGTTGGACACAGTCGGTTCAGAGGACTGTGAAGAACATGGAACACCATCTCCGGCTACATGCCTTGCTTGTCGCTCTGCCTTCAGGTGCTCAGGACCCAGGAGCCTCAGGGGAAAAGCCTCGTTAGGTGACCTCGTGGGCAGGGGATTCTGAGTGTCCACTGTGAGCTGCCCGGGAAGGGACAACAAGCTCTGTACAAGCATCTGGGGGTCCACTCATGAGCCCACTTATGGGCTCCAGCATCCGGGGTCAGCGACGCTTCCAAAGCCAGCACTGTGCCAGCAGCACTCATTGGACACGATTCCTTTTCAAGCCATTTGCTTTACATGTTCATCCCTGGAGCCTGTGGAGAAACAGCTAGGAAACGCCTGCAAACTCATCTGCCCGCCTCTGGTATGAAGTCTGTAAGGCTTGTTGACGCGCGTAAGGTTGCCTGCTGTGCAAAGGAAATCTGTGCTGGGAACACATAGTATCCTCACTCCTTACCGCTGCCAGGGCCCTATCACAGCCTAACACTAGCCAGAGGTCAAAGGCTCCCTTGGCCACAGGCTTGTGATAAACAAATGTTCCATACGCCTGGCGATGATCTGATTGTGGCCTCACAGCCAACGATTCCAGAGAAGCCTTCAAAACAAACACCCATTGAAACAATCAGATCGCGCTGAAACGTTCTAGGAGCATTGCTACACATCCCCAGTGGGAAACCCAGCATGTGCCTTTCCGCGGCCATAGGCTCTTTAGAGAACGCATGGAAGACACTGCTTTGGCTGAACCCTGTCTCCCCTTCCCTCTCATGCTAATTCCATTAGCAGAAAGCAATTCAAACGGTACCAGCTGCTCCATGTGCCAACACAGAGCTGGCCAGGGGAGCAGACTCCAGGCACCGGTAAACCATGGTAGCCACGTGTTTCTGCTTCATTGCTACCCTGGCTTATCATCCAAGAAGACTGTGTCATGCTGTTTCAGCACTGGCCAATACTACAAACCACCACTGCGCACATACATCAGATGTTCAGAATATTAGAGCAAGTATTTTACCGAGGGTAGTAAGGTGTCAATAGGTCCAGACTACTGATCATACATACTCAGAAGTTCAAATACAGGCCGAGTCCAGGCGTGGTTTCTTAATCCGGCCTAGCTCTCCCTTTCTGGCTGAGGCCAGAGTTTGGATGAGACTTCTTCCTTGGCTCCCAGGGTCCTCGTGTTCATCTTTCTCTCGCTCACATTCCTCTCTGTAAAGACAGTGGTTGTTTACTGAGCACTTAACTTGCACGCAGGCCTCATCATCGTCCCACCTTACACAGAACAGGTAAAATCCCTATTTTTGTGAGAAAAGTGAGGCTCAAAGAAAACTGACCAAAAATAGTGCCTACAAGCAGCAGAGTTTGGATTCGAGCCCACTTACTTCTTCTGAGCCTCCAATGCAAACTCTACTGGATATGCCATACATAACCCACTTTCTCCTGGGGTGTCTTCCCCCACGCAATTACTCTCATTCTTCATGAGAGTAAACAACGGAGCGGCTCATCATTGATCCTTTCAACTAGCAAACCTTTCCTGAAGGTTTAACACAAGTTACACAGAAATAAGTGCGTACTAGTAGCTTCTTTCTAAGTATCCAGTCCCCAAGTCTTTTTGGTTCCTACAAGCAAGCAGATACCTACACGATCCACTGTGGTCTCCAGAGTCCATAGTTCTCAGAGTTGCATGGTTTTTCCTTCTCAAGTGGCACAAAGGTAGATGGTAACACTGATTTTAAGGGTTTCTAATTGAGAAAGCATGAAGTTCTTCCTAGAAATGACATGGATTTAAAAAACAAAGAACAGTTGGTCCTTCATATCCTTGGATGCAAAGGGCTGACTCTAAGTCATAGTTCTATGAAGATTTTTCCACTGTTGCAGGGAAAACCCCAAGTCATTCAAGGTTCAACTGTAAAAGTGCACTCACACTGAAGTTTAGAGTAGGTTTTAAGGAATCTCAAGAGAAAGGAAACATGATTATCTCAAAAAAACCAACCAAACAAAAAAACACACATACACACAAAGAAAAACTCAAGTGATGAAATTCTGAAACGGAGCCTCTTACCTTGTTTAATGATTTCATGTAGGACTTCCATGAACAATGTGAACACATTAGAAATAGCCACTTATTTTTTAAGTATCAGTTTTATTAAAAAGTGCATTTTGATTAATTTACGATCTAGGTAAGCTGTTAAGATATCAGTATACTCTCTGGAATAATAACTTTACAAAGATTTAAAACAAACCAAATTTTAAAAGCCTTTTTATTTCCTTCACCATTATTGTTTTACAATACAAATATCACCTTGTGAATACACACAAAAAAAACAACCCTACGGAAGATAATTCTGCTGCACATAAAATACAGAATGGATATATATAATTCTTCATTCTTAAAAAACTATTTTGTTCTCCACATTGGCAAGTATAGAATAGAATACTTCCCCAAACATCCTTTTGTTAGGAGCAAAACTTAGAATTACATGCAGTTTCTGCACAAATATATTTTAAAGAAATAGATCTCTTTTTTGTTGTTCACCAACAAAATTGTCATGAGAGTATGGATAACTAATTTATAGCTTTCAAGTTTTAGTTAAGTGATCATTTTCAAAACTCGCTTTTAAAAAAAGAAGTATTCATGGCTGTTTTCACTGTAGAGTTAAAATTGAACCACCAAACAGGTAAAATAGTGTAAGTGGGCCATGTCGTTGCCGCAGGCTCACAATATGAGAGCCGGCTCTGACTTTCTGATTACCCCTCCCCTCCCTCCCCCCAGTCTGTAATTCAGAGCAACTGAAAAGCCATAAGCAGTCTTCTGATTTAATTTAGCTATAAATGCAAAATTTAGTAGTGTATACATACATTTATATTTTCATGGAATACTTTAAATAAAAACATTTTTTTAAGATTGCCTACTGACCATACAATCAAGACAAGAAAGGCACTAGAAACATAGACAAATTTCTCTCCCAAGAAGCATTTTTAAATTTTAACTCTCTTCTCTTTGACATGTAAAAATCTTGAAATTTGGTTTTCATAACATCATTTGAAAAATAAAGTTAGGAAATACTTAGAAAATCACTTTATAACAGAATCTTTTTTTTTTTTTTTTTTGCGCTTTTTGACACACTGTCTCTGCTGATTTTACAAAACCCAAAGTTACTAAACCTTTCTGTGTCTGTCATTTTTGACTATCGGTGCAACAGGTAGAAAGATTTCAGAATCAGACCCCATTCAGGTACTTAGAAACCTTCATAGAGACATTTGCTAGAAAATGGCTTACAGCCCAATCTTTGGGGCAAGAGATATGAAAAGTATGTTTTCCCAAGAAAAATAATACGCTTTATTTCCAGATGTGACTGGAAAAAACAGAACTTAGGATACAAAAGCTTACATTTATGCTGTTGCATCATATACAAAGGAACATGGTGATTGTGGGTTATGTAAATCCCAGACTTATGAACAGGAACTGTGTACAGTGCATGATAGGTTAGATTTTCTTTATTGTTGTCCAACTCAGGTCCTTTGGAGAGAAAAAGAAGATCACAGTGCTGACCAGGTAACTCAATAGGTTAAGTCAAGGTAACCGTTGAAAGATAGTGGGATTAGGGAGGTGTTTATTTTATGGCATCTTCTCTCGTGGAGTTCTTAGCACTTCGGACAGGTCCTCGTTCCCCCACTTTGCACAGCTGTTATGTGTCAGTCACCAACCGGCTGTATTTAACTGGCCTACTGAGGTGGACTACTGGCCAGGGGAAGGGCCAATGGTAAGATCGAGGTACAATTCCTTGGACATTCTTTTCAAAGTACTGAAATGGCTTGTACCACCACACCCGGGCCAAGAGGTTCATCTGGGAAGCTTCTTTGAGCACCTAAGACAATAAAGAAAGGAAAGACCAAGTCAGTAAGAGCAGTTAACTTCTTCCAGCCCCAAAGGGAATAGACGTATTTTTCTCATGACCTTTCACTTTAAGATCAGTTTTTTTAAATATTAAAATGCACAAAGGGCCCCAGACTAGCTCCATGTCCACCCTCACCCCAGTTTCACAGTCACACCACCATTCTACACTTGGCACTCATCTGCACACTGGGAAACACCCTAGTAGAAAAACAAGTAACTCTAATTCTAGGAGTGCAAGAAAAAACTGTGGCTTATTCAGCCTCTTGTCTAGAAATAAACACCTCAATTAGCTTTTTAGTTACTCGCTCTTCTACAATGAAAATGGACAAACTTAATGTTAAATATTAAGCTGATGAGGGGCCAAGGGTAGGAATGCAAATCAAGCAACAGGTGTGCAAAGTTAGTAAATATTTTCAGGGACAATGAGAATGTGGTATTTGTTTAACAGGATGCAATCTCCTATGCCATTAGTAACACATTTCTTGGTCATTTTTTATTTTTAAGTGGATCAGCATCACGAAAGATAACATAGTCATAGTTGACTATCTCTTAAGAAAAGAGAAAACTAAGGCATCTGTAGATCCTTTGTACGATTCCCCTGCCACGTCAGTAACACCAACCCAGGAGCAAAAGGCGCGAAAATCAAATGGGGGAAAGCTCACTTGCTGATTGGCCATAGTGTGGTACCACCAGAAGAGTCTTGTAGTGATGTAATATGCCACCACCACGTCCACAGTGTAGTGGTCATGCGCTAAGAGAATACAGAAGATTCCAACTACGCTGAGAAGCCAGCAAATCCAGTGATACCACCAGAGTCGTCGAGGGGAATCTGAAGAGAGGAGAAATTTGAAATAATCCCACTATTCAAGTACCACTAAGGGCACCCAATCACACCTCTACCACCATTGGAGTGCAATTTCCTCATGTCCTTCCTTCTGCAAACCTCTTGGGCTATCAAATTTTTAGCTTCTCTGTAACCAGTGTTAGAATAGGAGCATCTTACTTTATAAAGCATTTTTACTAGCAATAGTATTTCATATTTGGTTGTTATTTGACTCATATAGTCATAAATACAGTTCAAAAGGACAAATAAGGACAGGTTAATGTATCATGATCCATTTTTTTAAAAAAGCTATTCTTGGACATTTACTTTACATGTAAATAATTTGGGGTTAATTCTCTATACAAAATCAATCCTTTTGGTCCATTAGATCCTCATACATGGATTAATTATAATCGATATGACTGTCTTATTTGCTTTCCAGTCTGTGCAACCATACACTACTCTGAGTCTTTGAGATTTCCACCTTCTCAAATACAAATCAGGGAAAATCCAAATGCCTGGGAATTCCAGTCCAAGTGCATTCCCAGCGGTAGGGCAGCGTCAGATACTAAACACTGTCTGTGCCTCCACTGGAAAATCACCTGAGGGAAGACCAACATCTCCATTAGTGTGGGCCTGTCAGCCTTGTTTTCTCAATAGATGGTCTGAAATTCTAGGCAAACAATAGTTTGAATGTGATCTACCCGCCCTCCCGTTCCAGGGGAGAAATTGCAGGATTTTATTAGATTCTCAAGGGGTCCAAGAATCAATCGCTCATTCATTCAACCAATATTTACTGAGCATGTACAATGTGCCTGGGATGGGAACTGCTCTAGGCACTGAGATCAATGTACAAAACAGGCAAAAAGCCTGCCTTTGTGGGGAGATCCCTTCCCAGTAGGGAAGAGAGACAATAAAAAATAATTATAATAAGAAATTATATACTATGTTAGGGGTCTTAAATGCTATGGAAAAATAAAGTTGAATAAGAGAAGCAGGGTCAGAAGGGTGAAGGGTGGTTTGCAATTTTAAATGGAGGGTCAGGGTAGGGGTCTTAGTGTATGTACTCTTCCATTTCCAGGAAAATTTGTATTTGATACCTTAACAACATAGCAACAAATATTCATTCTTCATGCAACACTATTATGTGTCCATCTATTTTAGTTTTTACCTCCTCTCCCTCACCCATTAAATAGCTATCAGTATCTCATTTTAAAGATGTAGAAACCAAGACTTAGAAAGGTTAAATGTTTTCCCCAAGGTCACCGAGATAGTGATAGCAGCAGGATTCAAAAATCAGTGTTTGTGACCCAATACAGCACATTGCTTTATTATCTTCCAGAAGGATAAAGCTTAATCCCATTAAAGGATTTCAGGTACCAACCAGCAGGGGCCGGAAATCCCTCCTCCAGGCCCACTGACATCAGACCCATTCTGTTCCCATGTTCTGAGCCCAGTTACATCCTAGTACAAAGGCTTGATCACACCCTGACAATTCTGAATAGACATTGTTAGAATTCGCTCTATTTGGTCAGTGCCCTGAAGCCCATCTTCTATTCTTCTGTTGTGTCGCCTAGCTTAGTTTTTCTTAAGACCAAACCTGGGCATTCACCCTTCATTCTACCACCTGTCTTCTGAACCTCCACAATCTAACTGACGACCCTTCTTGGTCAATCTCCCTCTGGTCCTTCTACTTCTCTCCATCTCCAATGCCATCTGGTGGTCTGAGCCACCACCATCCTGTCCTGGATTACAGCAGCAGACTCCTAACTTTTCTCCTGGTCTCCAGTCTTCTCCCTCTCCCATCCATCTTGCAAGCTGCTGCCAGAGTGGTTTCTCCCTCCAGAAAGGATAAGGTGACACTGCTCCGCTGGGACAAGCCGTCAGCAGGCATCCCATCTCTGACCAATGGAAGGTCAGATTCCTTCTGGTGGCTCACGGCATGCTCCGTGACCTGGTTCCTACTTACCAGTTCATTCTTATTCCTCATCAGTACCCCCACTCTAAATTCCAACCACGTTAAACTTCCAAGGGGCCACACCATCCGAAGACATCCCTCCTGTAATGTGTGTCCCTCCTCTGTGGTATCAGCAACCTGGTTAACTTGTCACTCTATCATGCAACTGCCTGTAGAAGGCTCACTGGGACTGTTCCTAACAGTAAAATATTGAACAAACTGAATTTTCTACAAGTAGATAAATGAAAAAATGTAATCTGTGGTTCATGTATAGTACTGAAATATGAACAGCAATTAAAATGAACTAGAGTCTCATCTCAAAAACACCACTGAGAGAAAAGTGGCACGATACCATTTATGTAAATTTTAAAAACAAGAGAATAATATAATACACAAGAACAAAAACATGCATGGAAATGATATAGGAAAGTAGGGGGTGGGGTGGGGTGAAATGTATTAATCATATGTGAACACTTTATTTGCTTTTGTGTTTCATAATAAAATATTTTAAGTGCATTTTTTATAGGAACTTTCCCATTTAGTGTCTGCCTCCTTTAGTGTTCCTGAGCCCATGGCCTCTACGACCATGGTCCAAAGACATCACTGACCCATCACTGCACCCTCAGCTTAGAGCATAGTGCCAGGTGCTTGGGAAAATGGCTACTGAGTGAACACATGATCTTCCATCATCCAGTGAGCCAGGCCCAATACTAGATTTCTGTGTCCTGGAGATTTCCTTCTCATTCCTTCCAGCGGTTGTCACACCCCACAACACTGCAGATGACACAGAAGGAAACAAGACACTCCAGCCAAGAAGAGCAGCTACTCCCTCCCACACACATGCCCCGGTGCCTGCTGTCTGTATGCAGGCAAGGTGGTGAGATGAGGCACTGCCCTTCGAGGCCTCCAGTCTTGCTTCAGCAGACTTGCCCCAGACCCTAGGACATGGCAGGCAAGACAATTCTAATGGAAGCCTGTTGCAGACTTACACTCTTTGATAAATAAGTAGGTGAGTGTGAGCATGACCGTGTGGCCGCTGTACAGATAGTCCCCACACATGTTGTGAGAGCCAGTGATGGACAGGCCACCGCCAGCAATGAGCTTCATTATTCTCCGCAGTTGGGCTTCCCAGTCTCCAAAAAGCTGGTGGGAAAGAGAAAACAAGATTTATTAGCCCACAGGAAGGTGTGCTATAATTACTATTTATATTCAGAACTAGGCTTTGGGATATTGAGATTTATAATAAGAAATATATATCTGGTCTTTGTCCCTGTTCCTGGCACAGAGCTTCTAAAGTCTAAACCCTTTGGAATTTCCTAAGCGATAAGAAAGATAAAGGTGTATTTGTTATTCATAACAAGCCATTTTCAACCACACCTGAGTTCACCTGAGTTGAAAAGCCCCTAAGGATGTTTGCCAGAATCAACCAGGTGGTGTGAGGGTTGGAGCTTTGAGTCCACTTCCCCCCACCTCTGGCTTAATCACCAATGGCCAATGACTTAATCAATCATGCCTCCGGAACAAAGCCTCCACAAAAATCCCATGGGAGAGGGTCTGGAGTGCTTCCAGACTGGTGAACACGTGGAGCTCTCAGGAGAGGGTGCACCCTGGAGAGAGCATGCCTCTTGCCAGATACGTTGCCCTGTGCATCTTCTCCATCTGGCTGCTCCTCAGTTATATCCTTTTATAATAAACTTCTAATCTAGTAAGTAAATTGGACTCCTGAATTCTGTGAGCCACTCCAGCAAGTTAATTGAACCAGAGGAGGGGGTCATGAGAACTTCAGAAGCACAGGTGACCATCTGGCCTTGTGACTGTCATCTGAAGTGGGAGAGTAGTCAGTGTCTGAGTCCTTTACCTGTGGGATCTGACACACTCTCCGGGTAGATAGTATCAGAATTGAGTTAGAGAGAGTTGGAGAATTGCTTGGTATCAGGGAAACAGCCCTCCCCCCTGCCCCCCCGCACACACCTGGTTACAGGTGTGTTCAGGGTGGTTATTGAGAGTAGAGGAGACACACAGGAGAGTCTTTCCTTTAAAAACTTATATTAAGACATGACACCCCCCACCTTGAAGACTGGCCACTCAATGTTTATGTTCCTTGGGCAACTCTTAAAAAGAGTATTGAGTAGGTTCAGAACTTTCCTGAGCTATTAGTATTTTTTTATATTTCAACAGATGCTTACCCATTTTTTTTTATTACTCTGATAAAGACTGACTGGTTTGGTCTTATTACTATTGGGTGTGTTTGGGGGGGGGGGGGGTAACCCTCAGGGAAAATTTAGAGGTATATTTTCGCATGCATGGCCTGGAGGACAACTGTTGTATTGCTAAAGCAGCTGAAGATTGAGCAGTCAAATATACAAATAGTGTTTGGTATGTGATTTCTGGGGACCAAAGTAAAACAAGGAACTGAGTAGGATGTACCTTCAATCTTCTGAAATTATATGGATTAAATTGCATGTTTTCCTTTCAACAAAAGTGAAAAAAGTTTAAGAATAAATTTACCTGTCTCTCATACAAGTCTAGGCTGGTTCCTTAGAGTAATAAATAGCTTGAATAATTCACTCACTGCATTTTTCAATTGCTCTGTCAAATGAAATGTGTGACTGTCTCTATTTTATGATTGTTACTCTTTTTAAATTCTGGTTGGCCAAGTTAATCACCATGATCATGTCGCAGCTTTTAACTGATAATATTACAGCTTTGGAAAACATGTTCATATAAATATAAATTCATTGTAATTTCCCTTTAAAGTTTTTATGAAGGTTTCTAGATAAGGCAGGCAGGTTGAACACACCACGGAGAGGATATGAATTTCCAGATTCAATGGGATCACTGAATCAGCTCAATAGAAGAAAACAGATCTACACAGCAAGACTCAGCATCATGGAATTTCAGACACACGAGGGCAAAGAAGAAACCCTGAAGCTTCCAGAAATCAGAAACAAGCTTCACATGAAAGATCAGAAATCAGGTAATTTCAAAAGCAACACTGGAAAACAGAAGGCTTTAGAAAAATGCCTCCAAATTCTGAGGGAAAATAATTTCCACTTAGAATTCTATACCCAGCCACATTATTAACTAAGCACCAACTAAGGATAAACTAAAGTCATTTTCATATATATAAGATTTCAAATATTTACCACCTGTGTACTCTTTTTTGGGAAATTACAAAGGATATGCGCCACAAAAGAAGGACTAAACACAGAAAAAGGAAGAGGATTCGCTAGAATGGCAATAAAAAGAGGGCTGAAAACTGCAGTCAGCCTAAAAGTGAGCCTCCCAAATGGGCAAGTCAAAGCTCTGGAGAGCTGTCTTGAAGAAGATGAGATTACTAGAACACCCAATGTCTCTGACTATATGGCTGGGAAAGTCACAATGTGGGAGTAAATAAGTATATAGAAAACGAATAAAGTAAAAAGCATGGTAATTACTAATTATACAGGAAACAAAATATTGTGCAGAAAGGGAAAATTATAGGAAACTACATGACTTGATTGGGAATAACATTTACAAAACTGTAATACTGTAAGCACTGAATATTGAGTTAAATCAAGGAGAATCCATGTAATTTCAGATGATTGAAGGTACATCCTACTCAGTTCCTCATTGTAATTTGGTCCCCCAAATCATGGCTCTTCTACCAACTAGCAGTGTGGCCCTGGAGGGAAAATTACACTGGGAAGACAGAACAAGAAGTGTTCCGTCTTGAGAGACCGCTCCACATATTCCGCCCAGGGTTACCTGGTTGCATTCCGTGGAGGCAGGATGGAGTGTGCTTACTCCACTATAACTGTAAGTGTGACCTCCCCATCCGTAGGCTTCTGGATGTTTGTTTTCTTAAAGTATATTTTTATTGATTTCAGAGAGTAGGGGAAAGGGAGAGAGACAGAAATATCAATGATGCGAGAGAATCATTGATAGGTTGACTCCTGCATTCACACTACTGGGGATCGAGCCTGCAACCCAGGCATGTGTCCTTGCCCGGAATGGAACCCGAGATCCTTCAGTCTGCAGACTATCTACTGAGCCAAACCAGCTAGGGCCTGAATGTTCATTTTTGAGAGAAGAGGTATTTTGGGGGACATTCACATCAACACTTTCTCAGTGGACAGACAGTACAAAGTTGTGAAAATTTAGGTCTCATAGCTACATTAGGATGTGAATTATGGTTTCCTAGGGTCACAGAAAAATCAGTTCTCAGTGAAAATACACCAATTCTTTTCAACTTCTAATGACTGGCTAAGAAATTAAGTAAACTGGCCAAGTCACTTAAGCATTAACCATGCACAGCAAGAAACAGAGCAGAAGGTGGGAATGCCTTCTGAATGAGGCCACTCCAGTACAGTTTGAGCCAGTGGGCCTTTGGTTATTACGAAACAGGTTTCTCAAAGCATTCTTTCAGTGCTAAATCACACCTGGCTCTGCGGGTAGTCTGTTTGCCATCATTCAGTGTGCAGACAGCCCAGTGCCCGGCCTTTTCTCTTAACTGCTTTGTGGAGCAGGGGCGTTCACTGTGCTTCAGCCCCACTGGCAGGGGCGGGAGAACCTGGGAGCAAAGCTCATCAAACAATGCTGCATACATCAGTGGCTTTGGTGCGCTCTGACGAGGGGCTGAAAGTGAGTAGTGGGGAGTAGAAATGCTATTTAATATCGTCCTTGTACCTTACTAATGCTTTCTCTTACAGCAGCCCTGAAGAATCAGCAAGGCTTCCTGGGCTGGGAAGCAAAGTCTTGACCCTTTGGTGTGTGTAGGCCAATGCACTAGCCACTAAGCAACACCAGCCAGGGCACCACAGGTATGGAGGAAGAATGGTGTGGGGGAACTGCATAAGTGACACTATGTCCCCCAGCCTGTAGGTTCTGCTATCTCCTGTTCACCCCTTTGGTAAGAATAGCAGCTCTTCCTCCTCCACTTTTCGAGGGGACACTCACAAGGGTGCTGCTATTCCCAAGCTTAGTGTCCCACCTCTGTGACTTGTTTTCCCAGTAAAAGTGCCCCAGCTGTTCAGTGTGGCAATGTGGCCCAAGTCCTCTGGCTCCGTGTAGGTACTGCCTGCAAAACTACATGCTACCTGTGCAGTGCCAGTCCCTCGCAAGCCTGGTGAACCAGGAACTGGGTACATCTAGAGCAGTGGTTCTCAACCTTCTTAATGCCGCGACCCTTTAATACAGTTCCTCATGTTGTGGTGACCCCCAATTTCATTGTCACAAATTGAACGTAATTAAAGCATAGTGATTAATCACAAAAACAATATGTAATTATATATGTGTTTTTCGATGGTCTTAGGCGACCACTGTGAAAGGTCGTTCGACCCCCAAAGGGGTCGCGACCCAGAGGTTGAGAACCACTGATCTAGAGGAACTTTTCCTTGAGCGTCTGGGAACCTTACAGAGATTTAATGTCATGCTATCACTTCCCATTCCAACAACCATGAACAGCCAGCTGTTGCTCAAAGTATTCATTCATTCATTCACTCATTCATTCAATGAATCCACTGAATACTACCACCAGGGCAAATCATTTCTTTTTTTTATTCCCGAAGGAAATTTTCCTCCAAAACAAGAAATTCACTATCATCCATGACAAACCAAGATGGCCAGCTGCTCTTACACTTAGACCACGGATCACATTTGTTGTGGGAACCAAGCGTCAGGAAGCAGGAGAACCGGAGAACTGATGGAATCCTGCCAGTCTTACCCCCACAGCCTTCAACTGAGAAACACACGCTACACACTGCGTTTTCCCCTCAGCCTGAACTCCCCAAATGACAAAGGCCCGAAACAACAAAACTACATCCTACAGCATGTCCTTGAAGCCCCACAGGCCAGGCAGTGTGTTTATAAGTTTGATGGATGTTTTAGATTTCCCAACAGCAGTGAGAGGCCCAAAACTGCCCCTTATCATGTCTCATGCTTTCTTAGTGTTACCGGAACAGGCAGTAAACAAGAGGGTGGGGGAGTGGTTCTACATAATAAAACACTGCCCTTTGTTTTTATAGAAATTCCAACTTTTTTTAAAATATATTTTATTGATTTTTTACAGAGAGGAAGAGAGAGGGATAGACAGTTAGAAACATCGATGAGAGAGAAACATCGATCAGCCGCCTCCTGAACACCCGCTACTGGGGATGTGCACG